TAAACTCCTAGTATCCCCCTTAATGAGCCCTATAGTAGTTCCCTATAGAATCCCTATATAAACCCCTTCAAGGAGTTTAGACTATAGCTCATAAGCAGACGTGCAGGCCCCGCCAACATGGGTGATTTTCAACCTAGTCTGCCTTACTACTGTTGATACTGGAAATCCTGTGTTTAGGGTTTTAGGGTTTAGGGTTTAGGTAATTCCGAGTCTTTAGGGTACTTAGGGTCATGCAGGATTTAATATCCACCGTAGCACGTCCTGCTATAGGGTGGGGCCCCCAAGTTATACAAGTAAGTGTAAACTCCCTCAGCTACCATCTATGGGGCTTGTAACTACCTTTTCCTCAGTAGTTATACCTTGCCCACGTATAACCCAACTCGCAAGTAGGGGCCCTCTACCATGCATACTCCATTCTAATGTAGTAGTTTCCATGTTGTTTTCCATTATCCCTATATAACCCCAATATACTACAATAGTTTACATGATATGTATAACTCCAATATACCTAAACCCCTACCTATAGAGGCCCGATCATGCCGCCGATCTACAGGTCCATGACCGTCGCCACGAGTCGCACATCCACGCCTCCTAGCGAGAGACCATCTATAATAGCCCAATGTAGGTAATGGTTTAGGGTTTAGGGTTTATAGGGCTAAGGGATCCAAATGGGCCAATGTAGGTCATATCGATAGACTTTCGGGCCCAAAGGTATTATTTTCAACTTGGAGCCCTTAGACAATGCAAAATCTCCTTGATCACGCTGTTGAAACATCTAGCGGTGCATCTTGCCAACCCTAAGGGACCACCGTAAAATGCGATGCGCTCTGCGCGTCCTCTGCCTTTGGCATTTCTTCAAATCTCTCGCCTAATTCCTTTGAATCTGAAGCAGAAATTCTGCTGGTACTCATATCAGGAGCCAGCGCCCCCAAAAACAGGACAAAGATTCCTTGACCCGAAATCCTAATGCCTAAGCCCCCCCAAACCCACAAAGGAAGAAGAGCCAAGTCAAATCGCAAGCCAAAAGGCTAAGCAACCCCCCCCCTCAAAAAAAAAGTGCAGCAGGAACAAGTCGGAAGCCATTCGTTACGTGTCAGGTATGTAGTGTTTCCAATGTCTGGTTTGTGACTTGTACTGGGAAGAACCATATTACCCAGTAAAGATTGAAGAGTCTTGCTCTTGCCCGTCTCCAGCATCTGAGCCATTCTCTAAAAACCTAGCATCCCCAGTAATATCCCCTAGAGTAGTCCCGTATATAATCCCCCTGAAGGAGTTTAGACTATAGCTCATATAAGGCCCCTACCCCCAAGGCAACAAAACTCCCTGACCAGCATCCTATCACCCCCGAAGCCTCAAATCTGAAGTTCAAAGCTCTAAGCCCCGAAGCCTAAAGTCCCCCTTGAGTAGATAGAAAATGCGGTATATGGGGATCTTGTTATAATATACCCAAAGCCATATTTTACCTACTTAAGGGGACTATAAGCCTTAAATTCTAAACCCCATGCAAGCCCAGAACCCTATGGCCAAATGTCCCTATGCAGACCCCTTCATACTTCGACATCACCTTAAACATCCCTCCATTCGACAGGATCCTCTCCTAAACTCAATCCCTGAATCCTAAACCCTCAACCCACATAGTGGGGTCGAGACCCAGATCCACAATCGGATACACCATTTTTGACCCTTACTGGCATCCCAGGGGGATACTGACATTAGGGGTGCAACCCTAAAGCCTAAACCCCTAAACTACAGCCTTAAGCCCTCAACCCATAAAGTACAGCCTAAACCCCTAAACGCCTAAACCCTTAACCCTTACCCTAAACTCTAAACCTCTAAACCCTAAACCCCGTAACTACAGCCTACAAGCCCCTAAATCCATTGGAGCTACTGTCTAAACTCCTAGTATCCCGCTTAATAACCCCTATAATATTCCCCTGTACAATCCCATATATTATAACCCCCTTCAAGGAGTTTAGGCTATAGCTCATTTCGGTGGTCCGCTGGGTCCTGGAGGGAGCCCGAGCTCCTCCACGAACGTGGCCTGGGCTTCTTCGTCGAAGGTGTAACCTGCCACTCTGCAGGTTTATAGCGTGTTGGGGTTAAGGGTTTTAGGGTTTAGGGCTAAGGGTTTTAGGGTTAAGGGTTAAGGCTTTTAGGGCTTAGGCTTTTAGTGCTTAGCACCGAGGGTTTAAGCCCCTCCCCCTAGTATAACACACCCTAATCTTGAATACTCCTATCATGTGGTATATTACAAGAAATTGGAAATACTAACTATTAGAGGGGTGCGGGGGTTTTATGCTAGAATTATACTAGGGGGAGTGGGTTTATGTGTTTGGGTTTAAGGTTAAGGGATTTAGGGTTCAGGCCTTTAGGGCTTTGGGCTTTAGGACTTAGACTCTGGGTTTAAAGTTGAACGTTAACAATTCTTGGTCCAGGGATATGTACGGGATCTGCAAGAATGTTCCTGGATGAATTTGCAGAAGGACTTCAAGAGTCTTTTTGGTGATTATGTACCTTTTGCAACAGGCTTCAGATCCGCCCGGTGGCGACTCCCCCTGCACGTGCTCATGACGCCCAGGGACCCGCAGGAGCTGGATCTGATTATGTACCTAAACCCTGAACCCCTAAGCTCCGAACCCCTAAACCCTAAACCCTAAACCCTAGGATGTAGGGTTAGGCTTGGGGTTCCAGATTTGGAGTACAGGGTTCAGGGGTTTAGCTTGGGGTCTTGTTCATAGGCTAGAAATGACGTAGGTGTCCAACATACAGCGCATAATGTTTCCAAGATCCGTCTTGAGGTTCATACTAGGCTTATCCTACCCCCGCAAGACGAAAATTCGCTGAAGGGGTAAGAGGCGTGCAGCATGAACCGTCACTGAAGGCATCCATTCTGTCATCTCCCTACCAACAAGGTGCACGTCGCCAAGTGTGCGGTAGTGTTGCTTTGTTGACAAGCGCCACTCGCGACATCTCAGGCAGAGATGATTCAGAGGTCGTGCTTGCCAGGCTTTTTGACAACCCTAAAACTCTAGACCTTCCCCCTAAATCCCTTTGTAGGGGTACCAACGCTAACACGGCCTCCATAGTAGCTTCCGGAATTCTGTCTCGATGCCTTCTCTCGCTGTATGAGGCCTGAGTCCAGCAGATTAATTTTGTCATGGAGTTTAAGGCTTATCTACACTGACATGGGCATTTAAAAAGGGGGTCCCTGCGTATACCACCAAAATCGAGGTAATTAGCCTTATAGGGTTCCCTTTAAACAGAGCCTTAATCCTAAACCCTAAAAGTCAAAATATCAGTACCATACCCCTACATAACCCCAATGTATTACTTAAAACGAAACCTCAACCCACTAAGGGGCCCCTTCTTTTTGGATAACCCGCGTGGAACCTGCTACAAGGACTGCTGTCCTGTGCCAGAGAGCTTTATCAGGTCCCTCTCTAGTTCAACAGAAAGTTTAGGGTTGAGGGCAGGTTTCGTGGGTAGTTTCTAGATGAACTACCCCCACATGTTGTGTAAATCCCCCCGCCGGAACGCAAGTATAACACCACCACCCCCCCCCCCAATTCAAGAATCAGAAAATGTTGTGTTTTTCAAAATGATTTTTTTCCGGGACAAGGACTTTAATTAGATCTTAATCAACTCTGAGTACTTATTTGGCATCACTGTTCCGGGGCTCCCCCAGAACGGAGAAGATCAATCGAGGGGGGGGATTTATCAATGCGATGTGCACGTTAAACCCTAAATCGCTTTTAGTACCCGATCTAGGATTTGGGCTGTGAGTTGTGGTTCTTATTTACAGCCCCATGGTACAAGCGCCCATTAGCCGCCAAGTAGGAAAGCAACTAAGTCACGACCTTGTCATAGGCCCATTAGTCCCTCACCCTGCAGGGTTTAGGGCGGTGGTTATACTGATATTGCACAATCTCTGCGCACTAACATTAAACACGCCCCTCACCCCTGACACAGAATAGTCCATAATAAAACCTTGAACCCGAACCGTGAAACCCTACACCCTCAAACCCTAAACCCCAAACCCTGGAACTCTCAAACCCTAAACCCTGGGGGTGTTTAGCATTCGTATGAACGGATGGCTATGACTACCCAGCTTAAGATGTCGATAGAGTTTTGTGGTTTAGGGATTTGGGTTTTGGGTACATAGGGTTTAGGGTTTAGGGGTTTAGAGTTTGGGGTTTAGGGGTCTAGGGTTCAGGGTTTAGGGTTTGAGATTCAGCGTTTTAGGGTTTAGGGTACACCCTCACTAATGCTGAAGCCCCAAAGCCAAAACTCCTCAACCCTAAGACATAAAACCCGCGACCCTGAACAATTAACCCCAAGCTGTCCACGCCCTTAAACCCTAAACCCCAAACCCTAAGCCCAAGCTAAACCCATTCCCCTCAGAGAGCCGAGATGCTTCCCACAACCTCATACAACTCGGCTGCCGTCACCAGAGCCTGAGACAGATTGGGTTTTCCAGAATTAGGGGTACCTTATTGCGGGTCCCCATAATAACAAGGATCATAGTATATTGGGGTTTATAGTGGGGCCGCCCCTATTTTGGGAAGCTACAGATCAGCACACCTGATAGCAACAGAGGGTGTGTCAAGAGAATGGACCCATCTTAAAAATTGGGGTATGGGGTCTGTGCGGGTGGAGATGGGACCAGAATATCAAAAAGCAACTCATCGGTTTCTCATAAACATTATATTCATGCAGAGGTCTCTGGAAAATGTGATGGGAGCTTCAGGAAATATTGGGTCGCTTAGGGTGGTTTGAAAGGACGCAGATTTGGCACGTTTTGGCTCTGCAGGCGAATGTAATCTAACTACCAAAGGTTATTCCGCTTCTCACCCTAAACCGTGAGGTAGACAAAGCCCAGCTTGGATTCAAAAGCACGCCCTGCTTGACGCACAACCTTTTGCTGAATTTTAGCTGCAACTCAAAACCTCAAGCGCCACGCCTTGCACCCACAAGGACACCCCGTCACTTCACCAAGGAGCTCGAGTGCATAAGTGCGGCTCAGATTTGAGACCACGAATGACCAGCAGGCAATGCCGAATCTGCTCGCTCACTCGGTGAGGTGATCGGAGAACACAAAGAATCGCAAGGGCGTGCTCCACAGTCAGGGTGTTAAGCTTGTTCCTGACATGAACCAGGGCTTGTGTGAGGTTGGAACTATGCGCCCCTAGTATGGGCCCTTAATTTTGGGGGGCTTATACATTATAAACCCCACAAGGCAAGTACATAGGGGCCGTATCCGGCGCCCAATGGTTTGAACCTCAAAGTTAAAGCTTAGGGTGACCAAGAGGAAGGTGCCTTGGGAAGGATCTTGGCTCATAACGCCAAATCAAGGGGTTCTCCCTTGCACCCCTAGGGTTGTACCCCTGGGTTTGGGAACCCTTTAGGGACCATTTTAGGAAACCNNTTAGTGGTATATTGGGAAAACCCTTTAGGGCTACGACCTTAGGGGTCCGAGTTCTAATCCCTTGACCAAAACTCCGAACCCGGAAGCCTACACCCTAAATCCTTTTACGATGAGCCTGGGATCCTACTGTGGGCTTTGGAGCTTCGGACCTTACTTACCTCTGGCTGTCAAGTACTGGAGGAATGGAAAAATGGATGTTTAGGGGTACATTTAAAGTAAAGGGGTTTGTATAGGTGCTATATAGTAGGGTTTTCCCCGAATTAGGGGTACTTTCTTGGGGGCCCGTATAATAAGGATTATGGTATTTGGGGGTCTATATTGGGGTCCCTTATTTGGGAAACTAGCATATATTAGAGGTGATTATATAAGGGCTGCTCTGAGAATCCATTCCTTGATATCTTTCTAACTAAACCCTAAACCCTAAAACCTAAACCCTAAACCCTAAACCCATTATAGTAGTTTCCATTTTCTTTTACATTATCCCTATATAACCCTAAGAATAGTGTAGAGCCCCGATTCCGGCTTCGGTCTAGCTGGCCAATGATGTAGTCGATGAGCCCTGTGTCACAGAGGCGACAGTCAGGGCTAACCACGTCCGCCATGCCTGCGATAGCGTCAACAATCATGTATTGAGTTCGGATACACTCCTGATTACCCCTTAACCCTAGACCCTAAACCCCAGGGCCTGTGATTCCTGACTTCAGATGTCTATACAGGACCTGCCGTTGGCAGAATGGGTTTAGGGTTCTGTTTTTTTGGGGGGTTTAGGGTTTAGGGTTTTTAGTGTTTAGGGCAAAATTGGCTTTGCTACTGCTGCAGATGGCGCAAAGCCCTGGAAAAGCTGGACTGTGCGCCCCCTGATCCCGAAAGAAAATGAGGGAGTTTATAGGGGTTATATAGGGTTTGAGGGGTTTAGGGTTTAGGGAATTGCAAGTCTGAATTATGCTCATTAAGGCGGCCCGGATCGGCCTGCTGAGATCCCTACACCCCAATCCGAAACTCAGCTTTTCCCCAACTTCCAGGCATTCTATGCCCTAAACCCTAAACCCTCTATCCCAAAGGGTCCATGTAGATATATGCTATATACTGAGGGCCCAAAGGAGTTCCCATATACCTGCTTTAAGACCCAAGTATGTACCACATACCTACATGGACCCTTTGGGTATGGGTTCTTCGAACTTGAAATTCCTGTATACGTCCGCCAGGAACCGCTTGAGAATCAGCCCGGGTCTCGAGGATTCGTGCACTTGCAAACCCTAGAGTTTAGAGGTTTAGGTAGGAAAATTTAGGGTAAACCCTATAGGGTTTAGAGGTTTAGGCAGGGTTTATAGGGTTTAGGGTTCCGGGTTTAAGGTTTAGGGTTTAGGCCTCCAAAGATTGCATGACCTTCCTGAAGGAAACCTCCAGATGGGTACTTCTCAGGTGGGTTCCTCAAAGGAAGCCCTTCTGGGGGTTCCAAAAGATTTAGGTGACCTTCTTGGGGGTCTCCATTACAAGGATTGTATTGTGTAGAGTCGACATTGAGGTCGGGTTTAAGGTTGACGTCCGATGAAAAAGCCTAAATAGCTACCAACATCATGTTGAGATCTGTTTGAGGTATTTTATGACTAGTAACGGTTCGAAGAACCTAGAAACAGAATGTTGGTAATCCATTCTCCCCATAAATCTCATATCTAAGCACGGTTTCCATTTAATTTTTCCATCCCCTCTTCCAGCTGATTGGCAAATTTCGGGCTAGCCTCCCACAACTTCAACCCCGTACAAGTCTTGTATAACCCCTACAGAACCCCATGTAATCCAATTTGGGCTCCTACAGTACACTGCAAGAAACCCGCGCCTTGCAAAAGGCGCAGGTGAAGGTTGGGCACATTCACGTCCCGGAAGCGCAATGCCACGCTGACCTCTTCTAAGCACTCTTGAGCTAATGCTTTTGAGAATTTCAGGCTGCATCTACGCATAAACCAGGTTTCCACATGCCCAGGACAGGGCATGAAGGTACAACAAGGTTAGTTTGCGATGTTAGGAGCCGATGTATCGTCTGACAGCTCCGCTTGATCACGCCGAGCCTACTCTTTGTATGTGCCAGTGCGTGGGATTCGTTCATGCGGCTTGTCTTGCACGGTAGTTGCGCGCGCCACATGTTTTGCCAAAGGAGTCTGTCTGATACTAAGTGCCGCACGAATGCCCGAAAGAAAGGCACGCAAAACTCCGCTTGCTGGTAGGCATCACCCGCGCGAAACAAAGTGATGAGTGCCTCCACAGACCATAAAGCCAGAACTGAACCTGAGTCAAAATACAGAAGCGCTGGTTAGATTCCACGTACGTGCCATTATGATACAGCGTCCTTGGGAGAATTTCCATTCTGTAAGTGGCATACAAAATCCTTGTCAAGCAAGTGTGCGTGCCCGGATGCTGTGCAAATCGTCTCTGGTTCTACAGTAGGAGCAATGCTTGAAATTGAACTTATTGGGTTTTCAGGAAACGGAAACCCATTCTCCTTCTTTTTAAATGGGGCCCTTCAGGTACCAGGAAACTGTTCTCGTACTTCTGCATGGAGTCCAGGATTAAAGCAGCATAGGCCGTCATCATCCTATGGGCTCCACCAGGGCCAGCCTTGCAAAAGGGGTGTTGGATGTAAGGGTTGAGGGGTGTAGGGTCTAGGGCTTACGGATTTAGAGGTTTAGGGGCTTGGTCCTCCTTCTTGTGATAGCTGTGCAGGAAACATAGCCTATCATTTGTTGTTGAAATTCCGGACTTACACAGGTCCTTTATGCTACCATTGTCAGGGAATCACGGCCGCCCTCCACATGATTAAAGAGTCTCTGTATCCTTTGGTCATGGGGAAGCAGGTCTGCGGCATGGGTATAGATTTGCGACGCTGTGCACTGAAGATCTTACCCATAAAGAGGTAATATGGTCTCAATACAACCTTTTACGGACCTATGCAATCCCGAAGGGTTCGTTCAAAGGATCCTTAAACCCAACGTTGCGACATTCGGGGAACGACCCTGAAATCCCAGCACACGTTGACAAACACTAGGTCACGATGCATGTTCGGCACCGACTATGGCATTGCTAGCTGTTGAAATGTGATGCATGCGCGTCCTCTCCTGCCAGACTGACTCGTCTACCTCTATTTTTCAAATATCCCAACATGGGCCCACATAAAGCGCGTTGGTGAAGCAAAACCCAGCGCACATTCAAAAACAAATCCTGCACTTGCACGTGTATGCGCCAGCCTGCTCATGTTGGTGGAGATTTGGAGCCAATATTTCCATCTTTGCCACTCGGGCGGCAAACTCCAAGACATCCTGGCATCGACCAACTGGGGCACGCTGCTTCCTGGTTACACTTGCTCCAGAAAGTTGCGCCATGTCCAACCCACACATGCCCAAAAGCTGCATCGCAGGCAGTCGCACATACACAAAAAAAAATAAACATGCAACACAACTTACGCGAGGCAAGAAAAGAACTCAACCCTCACTAGCCCATCATCCGCCCAAACAAACCAGAAAGCTTATCTCGATGCATATTGAACATGTGGCTCCATGAAAACGTACTGTTATCAAGCTGGCGGTCTGCAATCAGCTATTATCCTCTGAGCCACACCAATTTTCAGAAAAAAAAAGTTCGCCACGATTCGACGTGGGCCGCTTGACCAACAATCTGCTGTAATCTCTTCTCAGGACCAGCACGCCACGTCACACGGTTTTGGGCAATGAGACAAGACAGAACGGCTCTTGTATTCCGATGGATCAAGTAGCTGATGAACGGGGTTCCTGGTGTAAAGGCCCAACGCGCATTTGACAGATAACGACAAACTCAAACATGTGGTGGTCTGTCGCTGTTGGCGGGTTAATTGTGTTTGCCACGTAATGTTGACCCCCTGGACTGTGGAACTGTCAATAGAGTCAATTTGCGCCAGCATCTCTACCGTCTCCCGTTATGATAAAATGACACAAGTTGGATAAACTCTGATGACCACGACAACCCGGCTTGTGCAAGTTAATTGTGTGACAGGAGCCTCATGACAAATCGCGGTAGCAAACCTACAACGTTTACCGGGATGACCCGGAGGTTCTATCCCTTTCCTTCTACGAATACCTCGGCCCTGGTATGGACGGAAGGAAGGGGCAAAGCAGGTCGAGGTCCAAAGGCACTCAGTGTACCGTTGGGCTTTTCATCGCTCCTCTCTTTGCTGAATTTACTACTAACAAGAACTTCTCCAAGTCAAAACCACACTCAAACCTGACTCGACTTCCCGCGTCTGCTGCCTTTTCCTAAGCAAACCTGCTTGGCACCATTTCCAAATGAAGTACAGGGAGAGCCCAGTAGTGCGACGCCAGCAAAACCAGCGATATGTTACCCAGCAGGATTGTATTTTCAAGGCGAGAGCAAAACGTGATTCACAAATTTGGGTCTGTCACGCCCCCTCATCTCAAACCCCCCACCCCCCTTACATTAAACGTTCGCAATATATTAATGAGAACATTTTGTTTTAGGAGGGTGGGGGTTTATAACATCAGGAGGAGGGGATGACAAGGAGCGGCCCAGTCGGGGCACCCAATACTTACAACAAGGTCCAAGAGATATTATCCGCCAATAATGGTTTCGGGTCGCGTTAAAGGGGATAAGGGGGGTATATGGGGTAATATGGGGGTATAATGGGGTTACATGTGGGATAATGGAAGCTCAAATGTTCAAAGTTCAAGATGTGCCGTTTGGGCATAGCCGCATAAGTGCAGAACAACGCAAATGTGGTAATTGTAGCGGTGGGACAACAGTAACCAACTGGACAACACGTTGCCAAGACATTTGGCTGTGATACTGTGATACTCGGTTTAGGGTTTAGGGTTTAGGGTTTAGGCTACATTTCTGTTGGTGGAGTATCAGGCCTTGCGGGCATGGTCACAGATCGGCGGGGCAGTAGGGAGAACTGTGGTCTACCCTAAGCGTCCAAGCACCCAAATACTAGGGTTTGAGGGCCCTAATACTGTAATATTGATGGTATTCTGGCCCGCTATTATTTGGGTCCTTATAGACCCTTAAGGTTAGGGTTTAGGGAGAAATGCTGCTCGCAACTAAGCCCTAGACCCTAATCGAGGGGATTCGTCGGCTTGCCTCTGGTGCATCTTGCGACCGTTCATTAGGAGCAGGCGATTCAGGGCTTAGGTTTACCTAGACCCTTAAGCCCTGCCCCTTTTTGGGGGTATCTAACTTTATGTCTTGTATCTTCTATATACAACAATATACCCTAAAAAACGGGTAGGGCTTAAGGGTCTAGGTAGGGTTTAGGGTCTAGGAACCCCCAAGCTGGGAACCCAAATAATAGAGTAGGGATATAAAAAGAATGTAGCTACCAGGGTCCTCATATTCCTGTTATATTGATACATTAAAGCTTGCGTATTCATGTCTGTAAATACTTGAGCATGAAATCGTATGTAAGATGGAATTTTCTAAGACTGGCTGGGGGAGGGGGGGAAATGCAGCTCAACATGCGAAAATCCTCATAGTAGGTTACCCGAAAAAGCGGCACCTAATTCCATTTTTTCTACACTATGGACGCCATACGTACTCATCTATATATACATATATGTATATACACGTGTGGGGTTCACCTAGGGATGCTGTGTTTTTTTCCCGTGGCAGATTTTGTAAGTTGCAGTATACTGAGAAACTCTCGGTACCAGCCGCAAGAACTTGGACCGTTGTGACTACACCGTACGTGCCGTAAGTTGCGTTAGGGTTTACAGTTTAGTATAGGAACCCTAGATGCCGACCAGTTTAGCAGGCAGCGCCGTCAGTTAGACTTTTGGCGAAACATATCCTCCGCAGTTGAGAAATAAACTCATCGAGCCTCCTTCATATCATAGGAATGAGTAGTTTCAATACCGGCCTTTTGAGGCCTCCATATGAGCTACAGTCTAAACTCCTAGTATCCCCTTCACGGCGAAAAGGAACATGTAGGGGGGGTCTTATAAACGTTAGAAATATAAAGAAATAAGACGCGCGGCATCCTGAAAGGAGTCGGGAGCAACGAGGGCCCGGTTTTAGAAGGCATTATTGGGAGTATTAGAGCAGGCGCATAGGGGGGAGGGGAGGTAGCCCCATAGAAGTCTCAGACGGAATCCTTAAAACGAGCTTACTATACTTAACTACGTGGCACTTAGGACCCCTACAAAGGGTTAACCCTTAGGTACCTCTAATAGGAGTATAAGGGAATCCCAGAGGATTAAGGGTCCAAGGTCCAAGCTAAGTCCCAAGGAGTATACTTTAGACTCCAAAGTTGGCGGACTGTTATACAACAAACGGTGGGGGCAGCATCCAAGGCTTGGGGTGTAGGGCAAGACTGTCTCCTAATTACACCCAGACCCGAAACCCTAAACCCTAAGCGCCCTACGCCCTAAACCCTAAATCCTAAACCCTAGGCCCCAAGGCTTAAACCCTAAACCCGAAGGCTTAAACACAAACCCGAAACCCTGAGCCCTAAACCCAACCCCGAAACCCTAAGCCTTATCTCGAGCATGGTCCTGCCCCACCAGTCGCATGCCCAGCTTGCCGTCCTGCCGTCACAATGAGGCCCTACGTGTAACTCCACCTTTTTAGGGTTCCAGGGTTTAGGGTTGAAGGTCCCTAAAGGGTTGTACCCCTGATTTTTGGGACACTTCTAAGGAATCCTGTGGGACCACATTGGTTTTTGAAATGGCTACATTAAGGTCACAATTGGAAACTTTTTCTATGGGTGGCTCCGCCGTCATAAGTTGGGTTGCAGGTGAGGTGAGATATAGGAAGAAGATGTACGCTTGCAAAGTTGTAGTTATAGGGGCAGCCCCTTGTAGGCGTGTGTGTGAACAGCAAGGTATGATACGTCTGAACCTGGTACCAAAATTTTCAAACCCTAAACCCTTAACCCTAAACCCCGAAGCTTTGAAGCCTTAGACCCGGCACCTTTCCGGTGTGTTGTTGTCCTTGGCGAGAAGAGGGCTTCAGGACCCAGAACCCCAAATCATCCTAAACCCTAAACCCTAAACCGCTTAGGGTTTAGGGTTTAGGGTTTTGCCCGTTAGTCGCAACTATGCATAGAATTTTTCTAAAGCTACAACTCATGGGACGTGTACCGTGTAATTTTACTCATCCCTGTACAGGTTGGCTTTAGGAGGGACGCTGAATGAGGACTTGGGATCGTATAGCTAAGGGCTATGTAGGGGTTCTTTAAGGAAATGATAGTTGAATAGTGCTTTTTGGTGGTTGAACCTAGTAACATTATATTCCTTATATGAAATACTATATCCCAAAAGGAGGATGTAATCTTACTCTATATTGGGTACCACAATATCCCCCCAAAAAAATCCTGCTCAGTTGGGGTCCCTGCCAAGGACTCTCCAATAGTCCTTCTGGCGCTGGAATAGCTTGGTGTAAAGCTGGTCCAGTGTCCGGGTACCTGAGAAACATGACACGAGCAAAGGTTTAGGGTTTCCATAAGCAAGAGGTCCCCGACAAGGATCCCAAAATGTGATGATCTTTAGTACGGGACCTCCCCCATGGTTTCATGGAGGGATCACCTATTTTCGGACAGACCCATATGTAGTAGCAATACCTGTAGCCTGTAGTATACCCTCCCCAAGCATGGAGCTCCATCTAAATGCCCTACTTAAAAGCCCTTAGACTTACCTCTGGTTGGCAGGGACTGAAGGGATGGAAAAGAAGATGGGAGCTACTATGTTATTGGGGAATATACAGGAACTACGATAAGGACCCAATTCTTCATGTCCTGCTAACCATCGGTGAGTAAAAGGGCAATCATCCGTACGGGACCTTCCTCCCAGGTTCGTGCTTTTGCAACATGTGGGATCTCTGCGTTTGAAAACAACATTTTTGATCTACTGCATTTGAATAGAATGGGTGGAGACCGGTGGAAAACGAGCAACGATGGGGATCCGTCGTTGGGTGCCAATTCAAATTCACCCGCTTTAGGGTTCAGAATGACATGATCTTAAGATGAACCTCTGCTTCTAAAACAGCTCCCGGCTTGAGGCTTCTGAAGCCATAGACAAACCCTGATTCCGCCCTTCCCTCAGACTTCCATTAGCCCCGTTTGAAGGGAATAAGTATTGCCTTTACGGTGCTTTTTAAGGGTTCCATGTTAGCTTTGCACAATGAACAACCCTAAACCCTAAATCGTGCAAACCCTAAAACCTAATCCCTAGCTGTGCACCGCGTTGCGGTGCCACCGTTTTTTTCGGTAAAAGAAATGAGGGCAGCACACGGGCTGCTGTTC